TCCTCCTACATGGTTCTGGTGAGCTAAGAAAATGTTTATCTCCCTGAGCTCGGCCTTCATAGTTCCATTCCATCACAGTCTTTCATGAAAAGGCATGAATATCAATACTTATTAAAAGGCATGAAAACTTCTTTATTTTTATTCTAGTTAAAAAAAAATGAAACATTTTCATGGGCCCCAGGCACTGTCCCTATTGTGCCTATATATTGTCCCCCCCACCACACACACACACATTCTATATATACACACATACTGTAAGTCACAGAGAGCCACTTTAACTGTTGGAGGATTGGGGGCTGCTGAATAAATAAATAAATGAGTAACACTATGCCATCAACAAGTTGGTAAAACTCAGTCATTCAGCCTTCATCAGACACCAATTATGAACCTGCCCTGCGAGTCTGGCACGTTACGTGCATTGTTTGCTTGTTGCTAGACGATTCCCTTTATAATTACATTCATGGAAGCCTCTTCTTGATCCCAGGTTGCTCTGACAAATTTCATGTTCTCTTCCTTTTGTCAGACGAGAAGAATTTTGCCACCCGCAACGTCGCCAAGTTTGGTGCAGCGGCTCTTTGAGGTCCATAACAAACGACCTCGGATTTTATCAAGCCATATCTTTGCATCTTTCTTTAGGCAATGTTTACATTGTGTGTGCTTAAAACGTCTGACCTCCGATCAAAATGGACTGAATGACACCGAGATTATGTGCTCCTTCGAGAGAGCCTAGGTCGAGATGGCCCTGTTGAGTTTTCTTTCGAAACTTTGAGGATAAATTCATTGACAGAGGTGTTGGGATTTATCAGTAGAGGGCAGCAGATTCCTGGCAGAGAAATTGCTGGATTCCAAAAGTCAGGAGTCTGGTAGCACCTCTTCTGCAAGATACATTTTATTAAAAGGCATAAGCTTTTGTGAACAACAGCTCACTCCATCAGATGCACGGAGGGGTTAAATTGATGCACCGTCTAAACTGGAAGAAGGCGAAGGGAAAACAGGTTGGTTATGCAGATGCAGGAACACGTGAGACAGGTTACAAGTACTTTATCAGTTGTAATGTTTTAAATGCCCAGTGTTTCTTGAGATCTTCAGAGATAGCCTGGAACCTGAAGAATCAGTCTAGTCACTCCATGGCGTCTGATGAAATAGGCTGTAGCGTGTGAAAGTTTATACCTTTGAATAAAATGGGTTAGTTGAAAAAGGTGCTACCAGATTCCTCCTGATTTTACCACCGTAGACTAACACAGCTCTTGTTCTCCAGGGTCATCTAAACGTCGATTATATACAATCAAGTTGGCCTCAACCCTTAGCGACCCCATAGATTGTTTTTCTCCATGATGATCTGTCCTTAACTTGGTCCTTCAGGTCTTCTTCCAACAGGACATCCATCGCTACCGTCCCTGAGCCCATCTCTTGTTCTGCTCTCAAATCTGCCCCACAGATCCAGGGATCTGGTGACATGCCTCCTCTTCTTGTATGTGAAAACAGAGATGGGAAGCAAGGTGATCCCCAAGGCTTGTAGAGGATCTCCATGCAGTTTTCTGCAGTGCTCTCCAGGAAGAGGCAGCCCTGCCCCACAGAAAAATCCCAAGGCATGAATGTGGATAAAATTCCATTCAAAACTCTGCATGCCCCAGCTGGTTTTTATTCCCCCTCCCAAAGCCCAAGGAAAGTAAGAAGAAAATACAAGGGAGTGCCCATGCCAAAGTGCTCCCTCCCTGCGTGTATGAATCAGTCACTTCCAGCTTTTGGATGGGCTACTCTTATTTCTTAATATCACACCTTGCTTCTCTGAGCCCTGTAAAGTAGATCCAAGTGAGAGCAAGGACAAGGGGCTCAAATTGCTGCCTGTTTTGGGCAAGGTATCCCTGGAAAGGGACCAGAAAACATTTGTCTTGAGCGAGGAGGTGAATCCAGGGCCCCGATCAAAACGATCATACTTGTTCTTTTGTGATCCGTGAAAAGCATCTGTGGTGGAATCTGCCGTTCAGAGGCCAAAAAACCAACAGGAAATTGAAACAAAAGAAGACCCACCCACCCCTTTTAAGCTGTCAGGCAGTTTGTGACAGAAAAGGTTTCCTCCCTTCCAGAATGGCTGGAAAGAGAAAGGTTAATGTATGCATGTAAGAATCCAAGATAGGACTTTCTGGATTGTGATTTTTTTAATTCTTTGCCAGGTTTCTCCTCGGAAAAAGAGGAGAGTAGGGAGTGGAGACAGACCGGGCATATTCCTGAAATTTAAAACAATAGCATGAATATTAAACTCATTAACCTGAAATTAAATATTTAATTGGTATCAACATGATTTCCAAGCAAACCCAAACTCAACGTTTGGAAGCCTGTGCTAAAGTACGTTACCAATGCCACCAGTGGGAAGATGCGGTGGCATGGGGACATATTTTAGCCACCTTGCAGAGATGCCTGTTGCTTATTTATTACAAGAGAAACCACAATCAAGCCGAAGTAAATGGAGCCTAAATATAGTCCTATTTAGCCCTTCTCTTCTTCCAAAGGGGTATCATATATTAAACAGAGTCTGGCACGCAGCACTTTTTAATGCCACAACGGAAGGCGGGGGGGAAACTTCCTGGAATTCTTTGACAAAAACAAACAGTGAGCGATATTTTAAGCTCTGGGTTTTGAACGAAACCCCTGGTGTTGGACGGTGCTCCTGGAAACAACTGGCCAATCTCTGCTTGTAAAGCATTTATGAAATGTCCTTTGGGGTCAAAGCATACCGTCTGGTTGAAAGGAGAATATTCCGTGGGAGAAGTCAGTTAAACAAGAAAATAAATGAAAAGCTCTCCATGCTATCAGCAGAAACCACTCAGAAAAAGAGTTAAACTAGCGTTAAATAGATCGCCACGGTTGGGGGGATTTTTGCTTGAAATGGGGGGGGGATTAATTATCCCCCACCCAATGGGGGAGGGGCAAATCCAAGTCAAAGGATTCCTGGATATGGGTATATGGATTCAATTTCTTCCAGCAGAAATAATTCAGAAGGAGTGAGGAATGATCCTATGGTTTCAATGTCAACCTGGTCTCAAGTTGGAAGCCCAACATGGTTGGGCCTGGATGGGAAGCCACTAGAAAATCCCCGGTTGTAGGCTAGATTGAAAAGTCAAAACATCCTTTAAAAGGAGGCCAGGATGAACCATTTCCATGCTGCTGCCCAGAAAACTCAAGGGTTTGCCCACCAGGAATCAAGTTCCATGGGTCACCAAGAATCAAGTCACCTCCAGGATGACGTCAGCATGGCGGGCCACCACCTGGGGAACGTGGCTATTCAACCTGAGGACCACCGTATTGCAACCTCTTCTGGAGGGGGGGAAAAAAGCCCAAAGGACCCCAAGAATGAAAAATCAAAATTTATTTTCCTTAAGTCGGCATTATACAACGGAAAGCAAGGATACACCCACGCGCAAAGTCACATAACACATTTCCAAAAAAATAAAAAATAAAAATAAAGGTCAAGTGAAGATCAAACATACTGCCTCACAAACATGAACAGAATGGCGGTGAAGCTGAAGGTGGGTTGAAATCGAGTTCAGACGCTACGTACGAAATGCTGGAACGGTAACGCACCCGTATAGGAAGGGGAACCGATAGAAGACGCCCCTCCCAACTCGGCTTTGAAAACTTCCCTGTTCCTGACGCTTACAGATCAATAAATAGCTACTTTTCCCACCAAACAAACGAACAAACAGAACCCAACCATGTTCCATGCTACATGCAGTTAGTCGGAAAACAAAATGACAAAATGATAAGAACAAAGTCACCAATATGGCGTTAAAAAAGAAAATGCCTTGTTTCTATTATTATTATTTTTTTCTTTAATCCAAGCACAGTGGCTAAATTTCAAGTATTGAGAAAATATTATATCTTTATTTATTTCTACATACACACATATATTTA